TGTTGACTAAATAATAATAGTTTCTGGTAAAATGAATTATTGTTTTTCTTTTAATCAAGATTCACTATTTTTGAATATAAATAAAAAAACGACGTGCCATAAGCATCAAGATTCGATTTAAAAATGCCGCGCTTATACGCCGATATATATATAAATATACAGAACGCTCGACACTCGATCGTCAAAACGAAAAATTCTCGCTGCAGCATGAAAAAATATCAGAAATATATATACAGAACACTCAACAATCAATGGCCCAAACAAAAATACTCGCTATAGCCTAAACAAATAGAAAAAGAGAAATATCCATTTCTTTTCTCACTCGCACTCGCATTCACGCGACCGAGAGATCCCAAGATAACGCACACTAGCTCGCTSGCGTGTAAAGACCAACGAAGAAGCGTGGCTTGTTCCCTCTCTTACAATTACCTTTCACCTTCATTTTCTCGCATATTTCTGCAAATACGAAAATAAACCTTTAGAACATTTTTTATGTATTTTTCAATTGTGCAAAACTTTTGTTTAAAATTTTTTTCGATTAAATGTCTAGATTCTAAGATACGGCCGTTTTCTACCCTTTTTTTTACCCTTTCTCTCGGAATTGCGCTATCTAATTGCAAAAAAATTAGCACCATTCGATTCAGTGTCGTCGAATTACCATTTATATCAAATCTCCGTTCAAAAACCCTTAAAAATTTTTTCATTTGTACTTTCTGCAATTTTTTTTGTTTTTGATTCAAACGAGAGATGTAACAAACTTACACTATTAATAATAAATTTGAATTTTTGTACTGTTTTAGTCTATCTGCATGTACTTGCTGCATTTTGCCGATACCCATATCTATTATGGCATCATTATAATCGGTCTTTTTGGATTTACGCGAGTCAATTTCTGATTCTACTTTAAGTTTTTTTGACACTGTGTCATTCAACGGTATATGAGTGATATTCTTAATTACGGTATGTATTTTTAGTTATTAGTTTTTTGGGGTTAACTGAGATATATATTATTATTTATTAGCTTTAATTTAATTCATTTTTTCTCTATAGTGATCACCAACTTAGGTTGAAAATGAATAAATAAGATAACATACTACGCAATTTTTTTTACCCTAACCTTACGATGACAATGTTCCGATTTACATTTAAGAATACCGATAAATTACAATCGCTGTCTTTATCCTGATATTATAACAAACAATAGTGTTGCGTATCCTACGCAATGAGTGAGTAGGGCGAGCGTCGGGTCGTGTACGGCCTTGCCGAAGCATGAAAAACGCGCGACAAAGAAGTATCATAGTTTAGAGGTAAAACCAAGGGAGCGTCAAGATCGTTTGTAAGGGCTCCTACTTTCTTGTAGCTCGCGCTCTCCCACCACATTTATTACGTCAATTATATGCATCGACAGCTGCGTTATCTGTCTTTTCGGCGATTGGACCGGTGTTGCACCGCCTTTTTCTATAAAGCCTTGCGCGTTCTCGCGCTTGGCATCATTCATCAATCATCATTCTGATTCTGATTAGAAAACTGATTCTATCACGAGACCTGGAAGGACTACTTCGAAGAGAACTACTCTCTTGCGGAGCGTTACATCATCCAAGTTCGGCCAGCGACAAAGGTCAAAGGCAGTCCTACACGTGGTCACAATTATTCTGCGTTTTTGTATAAGCTTTTGTACGGATTCATCGTGTACATTTTAACCAAGGGTTTTATGCCAAAACGCTTTTCCCTAAAGAGCCAAATAAAGTTTACTATTAAGTAC